ACTGCTGGAAGATGGCAGGGGTGAGGTGTTTCTATGTTTGGGAAAAAATGGCCGCTCCCAGACTCAGTGATCAGTAAATTCATTAAATCACCATGGATGTATTAGCTTTAGGTATAAATAATGATCCATTGGTTATTCCTTGCAGACTTCACTTTTTCTTTAAACATAATAACTTGATCCAGGTGTGTTGAACCAAAGTTGCAGAATATCGGCCCTCGGGAGCTGGAACCGTGTCCACCCCTGCTCTAAGTGAACTTTTACAACGTAAAATATTGTCTGAGAGAGAAGTATCTTTGGAGCTGAAAGATACGGAGAAAATATTGATGCTGATGTTGTCAGCTTTGGTCGCGGTTAGAGGACGCAGAGGCAGAGGTGACTTATTTCAGTTTCAGTGAATGATCTCAGTTAACAAAGGCAGGAATACAAAATCCAACTTAATGTAACACAAACCAGAACCATGGAGACATCAGGGGAAGGATGAGGAGAGACAAGGAACCAGCACTGAGGAACTGCACAAGGAGAGTATTTAAGGCTGAGTGAACAAAGGGAGGACTAACGAGCTGATAGGGAGCAGGTGAGAGCAGAGGCCTGTAGGAAGAAAGCTAAGGAAAAGGAAACCAACACAAGAGGGCAACAGAGAAAAGCCTTGGAACTCAAATACATCCAAAAACACAACAAAGTAGGAATTAAACCAATAAACTAGAAAACAGAAACATGAATAAACATGAAACTGAAAACTCAAAGAAAAGCTAATAAAACCAAAACCATAACAGATGAGGTTCCAGAAAACCAGGAATCAGGCTCCTTTAACATCAATAAACCACTCTAAACTGAATCATATTTCAGTACAGTTGAAATGAGCGGATATAATTTTTTGTTAGTGTGAACAATTTTACCACATGTCATATAAAACTGGACGATCCAATCATCTACCTGCTGCAGCGGGCACTCACCCACCTGCAGACCACCTGAAGCACAGTGAGAATCATGTTCTTTGACTTTTCCAGCACTTTCTACACCATCAGACCAGAGCTGCTGAGGGGGAGGCTGGAGAACGCTGGAGTGGACAGACATCTTACTGTCCGGACCATCAGCTAACTCACTGAACGCCCTCAGCTCGTACGACTGCCAGTCAGAGGTGGTAATCTGCAGTAACGGGGCCCCTCAGGGCCACATTCTGCCTCCGTTCATCCTCACCCTTCACCTCCAGGCGGCGCTCTGGACTCAGTGGAGGAAGTGAGAGGAGGATGCTGTCCAAGCTTCCATCCATCACCTTCCAATCTCTGCACCAGACCTCCACCTTTAGTGGAAGACTTTTACACCCTGTCTGTATAAAGGAGTGCTATAAGTTGTGTTTGATGGATAATGTGCAATTACTATTTGATAGCCTGTTTCTCTATATAAATTGATAGTGTGGAGAGTTGCGGCCTAGTGGTTAGGGCATAGAGCTTGGAATCCTGAGGTTCTGAGTTCAAGCCCCACTCCCACAGACTGCCACTCTGGGTCCCTGAGCAAGACCCTTAACCCCGCCCTGCTCCCCGGGCGTCACACAGTGGCATCCCACTGCTGCCCAAAGGGATGGCTTAAATGCAGAGGGTGAATTTCTCCAATCTGAGATCATTAAAGTTAAATTATTATTATTGTTGTTGTTATTATTATTATATCTGACACACAGTGCAATAACTATATATATAAATATTTACCAATGTGAACACCCTGTGCAATAACCCTGTCTAATGATCCTACTATTAATAAAAAGCTGCCATAAGTGGACGCACTGTGTTTACTGTATATTTCCCATCCATCTTCTTCTTCTTTGACTGTTTCAGCTGATTTAAGGAGTAAATTTCTCCGCTGTGGGATCAATAAATTAAACTTCATCATTTTTATCTC